TACTTCCATCAGAGTTAGATGTGGCATTTCAAATGTTCATTTTTCTAATAGCTTTATGGTAGTTAGCCATAATAAATGAAACAGTAGTAGTAGAAGAGGGGGGGGAGGGGGAAGAGTGATATTTATAAGCATTCCGTGCAAGCCAAATAAACCATAAAAACGTTAAAGGAAAATACTTCATCTTAGCAGGAAAAGAAGTAACATCCTGCCAAGCCCCAATAAGCTTGTTTAAGCTAAAGGGATGAGGCTAATAGACCTCAATAAGGCTACCCAAAGTATCTCAAACATGCCATGCGAAGTAGCATTCAAAGAATAGATGAGGGAAGGATTCGACCTCTTTCTTACAAATGTAGCAAATAGATGTTAGCCTCATTGCTTTTAGTTTAAGTATATCATCTAAAGGCAACAAGGAATGAAAATACCTCCAAAGAAATAAAGAGGTAGAAGAAGATATAAGGGGATGCCATATAAAGGTACTCCACTTCCACTTTTGATAAGGATGTTTATGTTTGTATAATATTTTGGTTATGGAATCTGTGGACTGAAATTTCTTAAAGGGGTTTCCTTCCTGCCAGTGTGGATAGGAGTATTAGAGACCAATGGAGCTATTTACCCTACCAAATACCTCAACATAGTCATATTACAGTTGCCCCATCCCAGACATCAAAGAACAACAATTATTATCAAAAGCAAAATGAGGGAAAGTAGTAAGATTTGATGTGCCCCAAGGATCATGCCAAAAGGAGATCATACCATCACCAACATCCCAAAATATAAAATTGGTTGCTATAGTTCTAGCTTGAATTATAGCCTCCTAAAGTTTAGAATCACCAGTTTTCCAAGCCACGATGTAGGGATGTGCAATTTGATAGTATTTATGATAATGAAACTGGGCCTAAAGAGACTCTCAGCTCTAAATTTAAACCAGAGTTTATACATGTTAATGTCTGCTATCTATTTCAATGTTATAAAGCTGAGCCCTCTAGAAGATCGAGTCATATAAAGTCAAACCCAATTGTTCCACATTTTACCTGAACCTGACCTAAGCCAAAGAAACTTATTAAAAAGTAGTTCAAGAGTTCTCAATGTAATTTTTTTCCTTGACAACTTGTATGGCATAAAGTGGTAGACTATAAAGCACACTCTTAAGCAAGGTGAGAGTTCCACCATTAGATAAAATAATGTTTCCCCAGTCATTGATCCTAGATTAGATTTTATCTACCACTTCATCCAGTTGAGTTTGCTTTCTCCTGGCCATAAGAATATTCACCACCATATACCTAATAACAAGTTTAGTACTTTCACAACCAGTGTAAAGTGTTGCCCAGTTTTTGATGTGTGTGGGAACATATTTACCCAAGTAAAGAGAACAATTAGCTCTATTAATCAGCAAACCAGAGGAGTTCTAAAAATCCTCTAACACTTTCATAATGAATTTAACAACATTCTTACTAGCATCAGAGAAAATAATAGCATTATCAACATAAGCAAGATGATTGACCAAAATCTTGGATTTGTGAGAGTATAATGTTTATGAATGCTGAGTTTGTGAATGACTAATCAGTTGAGAATAGTAATCAAAAGCGATAATAAACATAGTGGGGGAAAGAGGATCTCCCTACTTAATGCCCCTGTATGCAGGAAAGAAACCATAAGCCTTCTTATTAACATGCACACTATAGTGATTGATTTTTAACCACCTTTTAATAAGAAAAAAAAAATCATTCTTAAAGCCTTTAGCTTTCAAAACATTTAGAATGAAGTTCCAGTTAATTGTTTGATAACCATATTCCCCCTCTGCATTTTTTATCCAAATCCTAAATGATTTTTTGAGCCATCAAAATATTATCAGTGATCTCCCTTCTTTTGAGAAAAGCTAATTATTATGGAGATTTAAGATTAGGGAGATGAGGTTGTAATCTAGTGACAAGTATTTTACTTAGAACCTTAGAGATAGTAGAGGAGTGATATAGGATGAAAGTTATCCCAAGTATGCTTTTTACTAGATTTAGGAATGAGCACAATGGTTACAAAGCTAAAATAATTACCAGGATTCTATCCAAGGAAAAAACTTTGTATAGCTAAAATTACCTGTTTCTTATTAATATTCCAACAGTGCACATAGAAGATGGAGGAGAAACCATCTTGCCCAGGAGCTTTATTCAAATTGGTGTATTGAAAGGCAAAGTAAATTTCTTTCTCATTAGGGACATGTGATAAGGATAGAGAGTTAATAAAGTCTCTATCATCTAAAAAGAGAAATGAATCAAGAGGAGCGATCTACACAGTAGACTGATAGATAGTAGTAATAAAGTCTCTATCATCTAAAAAGTGAGTTGAATCCATTAGCATTTCAAATTTTAAAAGTATTATTGATGTTTGTTGGCATTATTTTGGTTTAGGAGTTGCCCGTTAGAAGCTGTCGGTCACCAGAATCAAAATCTCGTCACCCTCTTTGGAAGAACATCTAATATATATATATATATATATATATATATATGTATGTATATATGTATGTATGTATGTATGTATTTTATTTTGCCATGTTTTGAATGAAATTTGTGTAAAATATAATGTTACTCACTCGTAAGGGTATATCCCAACCATAGAAACAAACACTCATTACAGCTAAAGGAGAATATATTTTCGTATATATATATATATTTTCTCCAACAAAACAAACTTAAGTAAACAGAAAATACAAGTAAACCCTCAAACAAGACAAAACAACTAAGAAACAAGGAGCACAGCCTCAATGGAAGACCAGCACGATTCATGGCCACTAACAATGGTCCCAGTATTCATTTAGGTAAGGAATTTTGAGTTTGTCCCCTTGAGTTAATAGGTGGAGTGGGGGGGAGAGATTGCAGAGACCTCAGCATGCTCAACATTTGCACCCTCCATAGCCAGGAAGTTAGCAGGTATGTTTGCTTCCCTATACATAAAAGAGAAATGAATCTTACTTTCAAGGCTAAGCTTTTTAATCTTGTGAATCAACTGATTAATGTGCCAAGGGGAAGAAATCTTAATATTCAGCAGCTCCACCAGCAGGGAGGAGTCCATTTCAGCAACAATCCACTTCCACTTATTCTCCTTAGCAAACTTTATGGCCCAATAAAGAGCAGCAGCTTCAGTGTCCAAAGCATCTTCAGCAATATATGGGGCCTTATAAAAAAGCAAAGTATGCCCTATGTGTCTCTAAAAATTCCCCCAATACCTGCTCTGTTGTTTGTGTAGCTTCCATCTGTATTAATTTTAATGAATAGGTAAGGATGTCTCTCTCATCTAACCTTGATGATCTTAATATTATTAGAAACCATGGTGAGTATGGTTTGCAGGATCTTAGGGAACTTCCTTCAACTTATCAGCTTATTTAGATGTGTCAAGCAGTTAATCATCACCCTTGTAGTGCTGACCTCCCTGTCCTCATATTTGGCCTTGTTCCTAGCCATATAGAGGAACCAAGCAACAATGAAGGGGATTGGCATGTGGTTAATCTCTTGACAAACTTTAATACAATCTATTATGTTATCCCAACCAATATTTATCAGGTTAATTTTCATTTGAGAGGTCAATCTATTCCAAACCTCCTTAGCAAATTTGCAAATTTGCAAATTTGCACCTGAAAAATAAGTGATCCCTGGAATCCTGGTCAAGCTTGCAGAGATGGCATCTAAATGGCCCTTTCAGGCATTTTAGTTTCAGGATATCATCAGTAAGAAGTAAATTATTAACGGCTCTCCAAGAAAAGAATAACATGGAAGGGATAAGGTGTTTTTGGCAGGAGGATACATTCCACTAGAAGGTGTCCCAGCTGTACAAATTATTCTGGATATCCTTTGAAATGCTTGCCCTGGTCCTGTTCCTCAAATTAGGTTGATCTTTGTTGTTCCTATCAAATTGGATAGTTGAAATGGAGCTGACAGAATGATCCTTCAGAATACTCCTCAAAGTGTCCTCATACCAAACATTACCATTCCAACAGTCTTTGACCAGTAGATCCCCCTCCTTTTCATCCTACAAAGGTTCCAAATATTCAGTAGGGCACCAATTGTCTTTCCAAAAATTGATATCCCCTTGGCCCAACTCCCATCTTAGCAGTTTTTCAATGTCTTCTCTGACCTTAAGCATCTGAATCCAAATTCTGGAATCTCCCACCTTCCTAGCGACCTCCCCAGGGTGATCAAATTTGCAGTATTTGGTCTGCATGAACTTGGCCCATAAGCTTTCATTTTGTCTGAATTTAATCCAAAGCTTGCACAACTGATGTATTGCATCTTGTGCAATCCTTTAAAACCCAAACCACAAGCCTCCCAAGGTTTAGCCACTTTTTGCCAGCTTGCCCAAGCCACTTGTTTTCTCTTCCCAGCCCAAAGAAATCTGTTGAAGGTTCTTTCCAGCATCAAAGAGGTGCTTCTTTTCATTGTTTCCACTTGGACTACATACAAAGGGATAGAAGTAAGAATGCTCTTAAGGAGGGTGATCCTACCACCATTGGACAAATAAGAGTTAGACCACCCCTGAAGAGTAGAGATTATCTTATCAATAACCTCATCAAATTGAATCAACTTTGTTCTTCCTCTTATTAAGTGAATTCCCAAATATTTGAATGGGAGGCTCAAGCTAGAGAATCCAGTGTAAGAGTGCGTCCATTGTTTGATTGGTAGGGAGACTCTTTCACTGATCAGTATCTCACATTTATCCTTGTTTACCTTTAGACCAGACACCTGTTGGAAATGTTGTATGCACTCCATAATGGACTTCGTAGCAGACTTAGTAGCCCTAGTAAACATCAGAATGTCATCAGCATAGATCAGATGGCTGATATCCATCTTAGCTCTATTGTGATAAGTATTGAAGCTTTTTCTATTCTCCTTGCAATCAATCAGTCTAGAGAAGTAATCCAGGACCAGGATAAAAAAGGTGGGGGATAGAGGGTCCCCTTGTTTGAGTCCTCTAGAAGCTTTAAAGAATCCATGAGCTTTTCCATTTATAAAAACTCAATTTGTGTTATCCTCCAGCCATCTTTTAATAATTTGACAGCACTCCCTGGAAAATCCCCTAGCCTCCAAGCATTCAATAATGAAATCCCAGTTCACCATGTCATAAGCCTTCTTCAAATCAAGCTTAAAGATGGCATTTCCCCCTCTGCAAGGTTTATCCAAATCCTGTAGAAGTTCTTGAGCCAGAAGGATGTTATCCCCAATGCTTCTGCCTTTCACAAAAGCAGCTTGGTTATTGCTGACAAGTTGAGGTAAAATAGGCTGGAGTCTGTGTACAATAATTTTTCTTATAACATTGTTAAGACTCAGGGTTCTGTAATGGTTCCAGCTATCCTTGATAGAGGTCTTTGGAATGAAGACAATAGTAGAAGCACTGAAATAATTAGGTAGGGAGTTACCTTTGAAAAAGTGTTGGATAGCTTTGATCACCTCCACCTTGATAACATCTCATGCTTTCTTCTAAAAGTCTGTAGTAAACCCATCAGAGCAAGCAAATTTTGAACTGTCTATGTTATTCAAAGCTATTTTAATCTCCTCCTCATCAGTAATATCATTCAAAAGTAGATTGGCAGTAAACTGCTTGCTGTCTGCAAACAAATTGCTATCAATATGCACTCTTTCATTGTTGTTCCCATTCATAAGGTTGTGGCAGTACTACACAACACTTTCAGCAATTTCCTGCTCTTGCTTGAGCCAAGTTCCATTCTGGTCCTTGATGGAGTGTATAGTGTTACATTTTCTCTGGTATTTAATGTAGGCATGGTAGAATTTGGTGTTTCTATCTCCTTCAATAAATTTGGTTTTGGCAGCCTTTTGTTGTAGGAATTGTTCCTGCCACTGAACAACATTTAAGAGTTTCTCATTTGCCTCAAGAAGAACAGCTTCATGAATCCTTCCGTTGCTATGCTCCTCCTTGAGATCAATTACCTCCCTTTCAACCTTATCCACAATCAGCAGAAGGTCCCCAAAAGTGTCCCAACTCCACTGTTTAAGAGCTTTGCCCACCTTCTTTTGATTAATCCACAGGTTGTTGAAGGGGTCAGGGTGAAGGTCATTCTTCCAATGTTCCTTAATAATGTTCAAGAAGTTCAAGTGTTGAGACCACACATTCAGATATCTGAAAGAGCTTTTCTGGCTTGTCACCTTATTCTTTATAGAGATCAGTAAAGGCCTGTGGTCTGAACCAGCTAGGCTTAAGTGAGTGATGGATGTCTGCATAAAATTTTGGATCCAATTATCGTTGGCAAGCACTCTATCCAACCTTTCCCACATGTCCTTCCTTCTTCAAGTAAAGGTAGGGCCACTGAAACCATAATCAAATAACCCAGTTTTTTTAACATTATCATTAAAAAATGATATAGTGGTAGGGTTGGGAGGTCTGCCCCCTTCCTCTTAGCAGGAGAGGAAATGCAATTGAAGTCTCCTCCCACAAGCCAAGCCTTATCAATTGATCCTTGGATGAGCTACAGGGATTCCCACAGGTCCATTCTAGCAACTTTAGAGCTTCCTACATACACAAAAGAAGCAAACACCTCCATATCCACAAATCTGAGATTCATATGTAAGATTTGAGTATGGTTAAGTAAGATAGAGCACTTCATTTCTTTCCTACATAAAACCCAAATTTTGTTGTTGATATTAGTGAATAGATTGAAGCCAGGGAAGGCTTTGGCAATTTTCAAAGTGTTGAGATGAAACATAGGTTCCAAAATGGCTATGCACCAAAATTTATTGCACAAAATGGCTATGCACCAAAATTTGTGTTTATTATTTAGATATTTGAGTCTTTTTAAAGAAAAGGGGTGGGCAATCTCCCTTATGTTCCAGCACAGCAAGTTGATCATGGGGAGGGGAGAGAAGAGTAAGGTTGGGACCTGGACCTAGTCCTCCCTCTAGTTTTCTTAGAGACTTTTTTTATCTGATTGATAGATACCTCCAAAATTTGATTTGTAGTTCTTTTTCTTTTTAGTTTTCTAAATTTGTCAATCTGACTTCAGTTCTTTATTCATTGCTTCTACCAAGCTTTGGCTAGGGGAAGCCACCACTAAATCCACCACATGGTTCTTTAAAGTTCTAGGGACAAGGGAGCTAGCATCACCTCCCCAACTGTCTTAACCTCTGAATGGATCTCCAAGTTCTTATCTTTTGCAGATTTCTGACCAGCAACAGTGCTTACATTTTCAAATGTCCCTGCCATAGAGGAAAAATCTTGTTGGATGAGAGTCTCTTCTGTCTCTGCTACAGTAGATGTCTTCTTGTGCACTTCTTTACTTCCAACTTCAAGGAGATTTTTGTTGGCAACAACCAACTCCTGCTGAGGTTGGTGGTAAACCCTTCTATTGAGGGGGTTTAACCTATAACATCTCTTCCTAGTATGTCCAAACATTTTACAATGTTGGCAATAATTGGGTCTTTTCTCCATGACTACTTCTTTCCAAAACTCCCTCAAAGTGTCCCCAATCCAGATCCGCTTGACATCAGGAAGAGTAACATCCCTTTCCACTAGGATTCCCGCACTGGCTGGTCTGGCATTATTATAAGTGGCAGAATCTACCTTCAAAGGTGTACCCAAGGTGCACCCAATATTGAACAAGGCATTCAATTTAAATAGGTACAATAACAATTTAGTTAGCTTAAACTAAATAGGCACTGTGGGAGGTTCTTGTGATGGGTCATAATCAGATGACCATTTTAAAATTTTCATTTCTGTTCCAGCTATGATGATGGCTTGTTTGGCAAATATTCTAGCATGTTCCTCTTCCTTTGTCAGCTAGATTAGGAGATGCCTGCCATCCAACAAACCTAGCTTCCACTCTGAAATTTTCAAAGAGTCAAAATATTTCCTTACAAGTTCCATATTTGGGTGGCCTAAGCTAAATTTTCCAATTAGAGTAAATCAAACCTCCAAGTTTACTTCAGCAATCTCCTTTTCAGAGAAAATAGCAGCTGGTTCCCCATCTTTTGATCCCACTGGATGAATGCAAGAGGCAGAACCTCTCATAGCAGTAGTGTAATGGAATTCCTGAGGAAAAACTAGTAGATCATGGTCCAACAAAGGGGGAGACAGGAACTATATGACATCTGTTTGGTCTGTGAAACCATTTTATTATAAGCCAACAATTTTTCCTATTTAATACGAAGAATTAAATATGATTTATATGAAGTTGGGTTAGGAAAAGCTTCCTATAAGGGCAAGCCCCTATAGTTAATTACATCCTAGATAACCGAAGTCACCTAAGAAAACACTTGATAAAAATCAATGGTTATTATCTTCAAAGATGTCAAAGGATTATGACTTTTAAATGAACTCGGACAAAGAGGTGTGAAAGGGGAATAACTCAAATTTGGAACATTTTATTTTGGAATCCAAAGGAAGAAGAGCTAGGGGATGTCACAGATCCGGAGGAGAACGGAGGAGAACCTCGATCGATGACTTCCCAAGCTATCCAATGGTTTGACTTCAATTTTAGAGAGACATTATTTAAATGTTTCATCCTACTAATTTAATTAATTATGACTCACATTCATGTTAAACAATCACACAAATTGCCTAGAATATATGAGGATTTAGGTCATGATGAACATCAACCTCGGAATCCTAAGACGAATTAAGGCTTATATTGCACAACATGGTTGTACGAAGGCCTAAAGATAGATTGATGATTTATGTTACATAAGAAAACAACCTTGAAATCCTATGGATTGTTGTTTAATTCTAAGAAAATATATTCTATTGTAGATAATCTTGCTATTGAAGATGGTTGTGCTGCCCACGATGCTAGCTCTAAACTTTTCATCAAGGCGAGTTTATGTTTTCTAATGTGTCAGGTTATAATGTCAAATCAGATGTCTCTATGGTTATAGTTCCTTAAATATTATGAGGCATAATTAAAGTTGATTAGAACAACACCAGTTAGAATGACATTTGTTAGGATCTTACAATTCCCTCGTTCTGGTACCACTATTTTCTATCAAATTCACTTTGTTCAAATGAATGTACTATACTCAACTCAATGAGCTTCATACCTTCATTTAGACTGTGGGAAATCTCGTTAGCAACCGTAGGTTACCTCATCCGAGGGATTCCCGATCATCCGATAGTGACGTCTTAATTTAGAGGGATTCCCGCACATTTCATAGTCCTTGTAATTATCATGAGTTCATTTTTATTTTTATCATCTTTGTTATATATTTCATCCAATTAATACCCTTGTGCTTAGTGAATAATGATGTTTTAATTATCTCTTAGGTGGGGTAACTATAACTTAATATCTCATTTATGAATATATAGGTGAAGACCTTATAGGGGAAACTTGACTTAATTAAGAGATTTAAATAATTTGATATTTAAAGAATGGGCTTAAAGTGTTTTAAAAGATTTTAAATTAATTATAAATTATATTATTAACCTCATTAGAAAAAAATTTTATTAAGCCTAGTTCGCTACTAAGCCCTTAAGATTTAATAGGTAGATTTGTAATTTTAAGAGAAACGTTTTGAATATTTGTGCTCTCAATCATGAATCAGGAATTATATTAAAATCATCAATTAGGGTTCAAAATCAGTGAATTATGATCTTCCAAATCAAACCCCTCACCTTAATATCTCCCCATTTATCTTCCAGCTGTCAATAATTTTTAAAAATTACAAATTTATCTTTTATAAAATCAAAGTGAGATTTGTTATTACCTTTTATTTCTTCTATGTTTCAATCATCAAGACATGTCAATCAAGATTATTTGTTACCCATTTGGCCCTTTGGCTAAGCCTAAATAATAATTAAGCCTTAAATTCCAAAATTACTCTTTTGGTTCTAAGGCCTTAATACCCCATAATAATTTAAATTAGACTCAGGTGACTTGAAAATTTTATGTTACATCACTCATGGGTTAGTTAAAACATTAGAAGAGAAGATATGATTTTTCCAAGTTTATTTAATTTTTAATATTTATTCTTAATGTAAAAATAGAGATTTTCAATGAAAATTTAATAACTCAACAAAAATAAAACCTCTGTCCTTACTAAAACTATTAAATTTTCACCAAGGTTAGAGGACCACTTGGACCAATTTTCAAGATTTTTAGGGACTTAATTTAATTATTAGAATTATTTGTTTATTTTGAGTATTAATTAAACATAAAAAAATATTTAAATGGAAAGTTAAGTTTTGTATTTTTATTAAATCTCTCTGAGTTCAGAAAACCTAGAGAAATAAATTTCATATTTTTTTGATTTGTATTTTAATTACTAGAATTATGTTAGTGAAAAATTAAGAAAAATCCATTTTTAAGCCTTTAAAATTAATATCTTGACTTAGAAAATTGGGAAAATTATTTAAATTGGTTCCAGGTAATTAAGAAGCCAAATGTGAGATTTCAATGTATTTTTACAATTTTGTGATTTTTTTGATATTTAATTAATATTTAATTATTTAAAAGCTCAAAAATAGCTCTAAAATGAAGAATTTTTTTTTAATTCAAATTTTATTTTTCTTCGGTTTCTCTCATCACAAGGAGCTCCCAAAATAAATTTTGGTAAGTTTTTGAATTTTATTTAATTACTACAATTATTTTAACATCAAAAATACTATTTCACTTAATTAATCCATTTGGGTGACTAAATTAACTTCAATTGACCTG